TCAATAACAATAATAAAAGAGAAACAAACTTAAAATGTTATTAAAAAAAATGTGGATGAAGATGATTCAAATATAACTCAAGGGACCAAAACAATTTTTTCTCAAAAGTTTAGGGGGCTCCTAGCTCTGCCGGTGAAGTCAAATAAAAGATTTTGAAGTTTAAACAAAGATTAAATAAGGCCAAATCAATAATTTAATAATATGCAATCCAAGCAATAATTGTTGAAACGAAAAACAAGTAAGGCAATATTTTGAATCACTCAATGAGCTAATTGGTTTACCACTAAACTTTAGAATTTGGATTCTAGTTATCAAGAGTTCTATTTCCATTGATTACATATAAACTTCCTCCATTCCCTCAAAATTTTCCATGTTAAAAAAAAAAAGAAAAGAAGAAGAAGTAAGGCAACACTTTAAAAATCATCATTCAATTAATATTAATATTTCTTTATCTTTTATATTTTCTTCATTTACATTGTCTTGTTACTATCACCAAAAGTAGCCTTTAATGGATAAAAAAAATTAAAAAAAGATTAAAATAATATAAAATCAAGAATCTAAGGACATTAAAAGTTAAAAGACTTAACAAAATTTTTCCCTAGCTTCATCATTGTGGTGGTAGAGTGCAATGGGTCATTTAATAAATAACATGTTACCAAATATTTAAATAGTTCAGTAGTGATTTAATTTCTATAAAAATAAAAGTTTCTTAATTTAAATTTCATGATATGTAAAGGAAAATGATATATGCACACTCTGTCATCACACCCGCCGTCACACACTCACTCAGTCTCCATTTCTCTCCGTTTATCTCCATTTCTTTCGTTAACCCAACAACTCTCCTTTTCACCCAACACAACTTTCCTCTTCACCCAGCCTTGGTTCTTTGATTTTCTTTCCCTCTCCTCCCCCTCTTCTTCCTTCTCTTCCTCGCTCCTATCTGGGTTCTGCATCTAGATTGTAGAAGCCAGATCGAGTTCTGCAACAGAACCCAATTTGGGTTCTATTGTAGAACCCAAATGCAGAACCCGATCTGGGTTTTGCTGAATAGTAAGGTGGCAGAAGAGGAAGGGAAAGAGCAAGAACTCGCCGCCATTAGGTGTCTTCAAAGTTAACGGAGTAAATAATGGAGTTAACGGATTAAGTAACGGAATGAGAGTGTGTAATGGAGGGTGAGAAATTGCGATGTGTGCCAATCATCATCCTATGTAAATAGAATGAGTTTAGCGATAAGAATGTGTGGTCTCCTATTATATAACCCAAAATCTAATAAATAAATAAATGATAGTATGAAATCGTTAGCAAAAGTTGCAAGTAAAAGAGCATGTCTAATTATATTTAGAAATCATATACCATCAACTCCTCCACTAGAACTCCAAGGATTATATTCATTGATAAACAAGTGTCATTTTACAAGTTAAATTTAAAGTTTAAGTTTTAAGACTAGCATTTAAGCATTTAAGAAAATTAATTTCCTCAAATATATCAAATTGATGTGAGGGGTACACTCTTAAAATCTCAAAAAAAGATTAATTAATCTCGATATGCGTAAAGATTAACTTAGAAACACTTTAAATGTAAATAAAAAATTATAATAAACTCCTCCACTAGCCATGTTTAAATAGTCAAATTAATGGAATATCATATTAGGATAAATGTGATAGTTGTTTAAGACATTGTAAGTCTTGCATGACGTGAATTGTGATTAGGGATGCTTGAATGGAAAGCTTTCTCTGTGGCTTGGTGAAATTGACTAGCTCTTTTGAGGGTATAAAATGCTTGATTTAGACAAGTTGAGTTGCAATTCCGCCCACCAAAAAAAAAAAAGAAAAAAGAAAAAAGACAAATTGACTTGCATCGATTGGATTAAGGGACGTACGGATGAAACTTTGTTCATTTTCTTTCTCTAAATGAACTCTAATTCGAGTGACTGCATGAGATGCGTGAAGCACATGGCAGTACCACTAGTTTGATTTGGTTATTTGGATTGTATGTCTTCTTTCATTAGCTTAACATAAAGAGTATTCAAGTAAAAAATATATTGAATTTTACTTTGGTAGATTTTCTTTGTATCTAAAAAATATTAGAAACCAACGATTAACCCACTTTCTAAAGGAAATAATTCAAATTTTATTAATTTATATACTTTTTCTGTTTATTTTTAATAATAAATAAAACTAAATAGTGTAAGTAATAGTTGTCAAAGCATAATTTGACAAGTAATTAAATCATTTGTTCTTTTTTGATGAATAGGGCTCATTTCTTAAAA